CCTGACTGCTTCAGGCAAACTACGTAGCAAAACAGCTACCAAGTCAGCTTCGGCTACATGCAACCCTGTGGCATCAATTCTACTTGACAGTGTTCCCAGCAACTTAGAATACCTGGCCATTTCAAAGTCTATCTTTCTGATTGTATCTGTCACAATCGTACTTGCACTCGTTTCGTTTCCATGCAGTGCAAAAGACTTCCCTGCCAATGCCGTTCTAAAACTAAGTGCCTCACTCCTCGTCCTGATGCTGTACTCAAGGGTCAGCTGTCTCACCAGCTCAAAGCCATTTGAAGCTTGCAACTCTGCATTCACACCCACATCCGCATTGCACAAGTTGATTCCTTCACTGAATGCATTGATCAACGTCAAAGTTCTCGGGTGATTTCCAAACGCACTTCTCAAAATAGCAAGCAACCTTCTGCTTCTTGCACGTTGCGGCACAGCTAATTTATTCCAGTGCAACGGATCTGGCCATCTACAGGCATGCTCGATCTCACTTCCGAACTCAAGGCTGGCTTGCATCGCCCAGGCTGTTAAATCATAGATGTAAGCTTGCCACCCTAGGATTTCTGCTTCCCTACTGTTCCACTTCGAACAATCTGGTGTTGGAGGGGTTCCTAACCATTTTTCACTTTTTGCGAATACATCGCCTACATACTCACCAGAAGAACCTGGAACATGCAATGGGTCCATGCTTTGGGGGAAACTCCCTGTGGCTCTTTGTCCAAACATCTCAGGTACACCTCTAGCCTGGCCAACCTGTTCACCTATCACCTGCCTGACTTGCATTAACTGCATCGGTTCCAAACCTCCCATCAGCCTCAGCACATCTTGCAACCTTTGATTCTGGGGTGTTACTCCGCCAATGTCCGGTCCCATGCACATGCTTCCAGTTTGACCTTGTCCTACCTGACCTTGTCCTCCTTGACCTGGGGCACCACCGCAATGACCTGACATCCATGGCATTCCATAACATGCACTCCCCTGTCCAGGTTCCTGACTTCTACCTGTGCTAGCTTGGGCACTTTGACCTGCAGTTCCCATGCAACCTTGTCCTGGCATCCCTTGTCCGTGCAGACCTTGTCCTACCTGACCTTGTCCTGTCAGACCTTGTCCTCCTTGACCTTGTCCGAACTGACCTTGTCCTAACAGACCTTGTCCATGCACACCCTGACCTGGATACCCTTGACATGCAGTACAACCACTACATCCATGACCTTGACATCCCAGAAAACCCTGGTTTTGACTGTAGTTTCGTGGGTCCATCAAACCACCACGCATCGGTCCATATGACCCAAAAGTGTTCCATGCAGGAGGTAGCATCTGTCCAGTTCCAACTAAGCTTCCAGCTTGACCAACTAAGCCCGGAGCCGCTTGTGTCGCTGCTGTCCCAGTTCCTACTGCTGCTTGCGTGTTGCCTTGCATCGCAGTACCTGTGGGCGAATTACCTGCAGCACCTGTGTTTCTTTCTACGCCTTGCTCACCTCCTCCTTCCATTCTGTTCATTGTTGGCGACCCTACTGGTCCTACATGCAGTGAGTTCATTCCTAGCGCACTACCTTGGCCATTAGGTCCTTGTCCCTGGTTACTTCCTGGCATCATCGCGTCTACTTACACTACGCGTGGAGCACAACCGCTCCGCTACCATGCGAAAATCCAACAGGACCTAATTACAACCACTAGTATCGTGCGCTTGCGTCGAATTGGGTCGGCTTAACTCCGCGTCGAGCGTATGAACAAAAAACAACCCAAATTCACGACGGCTTCACTGCAATACCCTCGGTTCCTTTTCCACACAGGAAACACAAAGGAAACAAGCTGTCTGTCCAGCTAAGTTGTCTTGCACGTGCAACATGCATAGTTTGGTCTTCTCCTGTTTCAGCTGTTCCGTGCTGTTGAAGTGGCAGCGGCGGCATGCATAAAAAGTAAACGTTCTCCTCAAACTTCTCACCACAATGTTGGGTGAATTCAACTTGTTTGAATTCGCCATCACATTCCAAAAATAAACGTTGTCCATCCGCATCTTGTTGACAAATTCCAAAAACGTCCAAAAACATCTTCAAACATTCTCACAGCTTCCAGAAATAAAATGCAGCTCGGAAAAACGAAGTTTCAGTTGGAGTTGTTGTTGAAAAACGCATGCATATGTGTTTGAAAAACGACGACAAAGTTGACCTCAAACTCGTCCACATCAAAAGCACTTCCAAATTCATTTGCTGTCCAGATAACATCTGAGGCAAATGAATTCTTCTCCAAAAACATCATTCTCATCCACAAAGTTGATGAAATAAAACATCATGCACCAAAAACGCATTCTCATGCTTTCTCAACCAATTCTAGAAGTTCTCAGACCATTCTGCATCATTTCTAACGCTGTGTACAAAGAAACCATCACGAACATCATGTTGTAGCCACCTTGTCACCTTCAGGCAAGAAACGTAGCACATGCAACTAATATGCACGGGAGTGTATATTTCCATAGCAATTGCCACTCCGCCAGAAATGTTGAGGCTAACAACTGGGGAACGAAGAGTGATTCTTCTCCACTGCCTTGAAGATCGACTCTGCGTGTGGCGTCCGACCTCCCTTACAGACCTCAGCTATAATGTCGTACTCATTGATGGTCAGCCTTCCTGGGGTGGCAGAGCGCGACATGCTTACGGGCATCTATTGTTTACATCGATTGAAGAAGGCACCTATCATATTGATTATCTCCAGATAACGACCCCTGAGGTCATACCACATGGAGTACGGTGCGAGGGGCTCCTACGGGTGCTCTCATGGGTTAGCTTTGATCTCCCTGACCACTGCAAACGGACCCTCAGCTCACTTCTGCAGGCTGCTGGCAAGGGATGTGCTGATCTGCATTTGGTGCCATGGAATGACAGGGATGTCAGAGATGACCCTATTGCTACAGAGCAGGATCTCCGACAAGTCCTGATCGACATGATCCCAATTCCTGGGCAGGCGAATGCAGAAGGAGGAGCACTTATGCGAAACCTCCTCACCGAATTCCTCCGTGGGTTCCCTCTGCGCAGATTGATCTTCCTGGTGTTGCCTCAACTGGATGCTTACCATGCAGGTCGTCAGCTACAACACTTGCACCCCTGGACTAGTGTGTTGTTGGCGCAACGACAAGAGCGAGGTCATCCGGGAGTTGAACTGGTGTCCGATATGGCTATGAGGCCTTTGTGGGATTTCATGTGATGCAACTGATCACTGACTGCATTCCTCTTTTGCTTTTCAGTGACCCAAAGGCGGTTCCTTCCGCGTCACCATGGAGTCTGTGTGAACATGGCAGCTTGGGAAGCATGGAAGCCAATGTGATGGCAGGGAGAGCCCTGTTCGGGCGTTTCCAGCTCCCAGAAGGCCCGCGTCGCTGTGCCATCTTCTTAGTCCAAGAAAAAGCAATGCAAGGTACGAGTCGGTCCGCTGACTCCCGTGCATACCGTCGAATTGCCCCGAAATCCCTTGAGCTAGTCCTGGTCTCCAAGTCGGTTGCGTTTGCATTTGCCTCCTAGTGCAACAGCCAGCGGAAGTGGAATACTTTGACCCCGAACGAGACTGGCCGAAGCTCATTGTCTTTTGCAAGCTTTTCGGTTGTGATGGAAGAAATGGCTTTCCATGGTGACACACGAAGCAGATGTGAATTGCTGGTTTTCGCACAGGCAAATCCGGCACGACTCCCGCTGACGATGGGCATCTTGCAACCCAACATCCCAGTGCGAAGAATGATGAGTGAACGCCGAACTAAGCTAACGGACGCTTTGGTCCGAGTGCTCTGTCGCTTACTGACACCCATTGGAGTTGCCATCCCAGGCCCGCATGATGAATATATGCGCAACAGCCTACTCCCATTGGCTGCGCATGGGGATGGGCACGTCCTTACTGTTGCAGTAGCATTGCTCCTGGCGATCCTCACTGGTCGTTCTGACCTGTGCATCGCAGGCGTTTTTGGTGCCGGCAAGACGCGTTCACTGGCGGTTTTGCTAATTGCCCTCAGCTGCGAGCTCACTGATTTCTATGCAATAGTGTACACCAAAGGTTTCATTAGGCGCTAGCCTTGTTATCTTATCGACTCGCAGGTGTGGCGTGTGCCACCTTAACCAAAAAAAAAACCTGAACCCAAAAAGAAAAAAAAAGTAGGAGGGGTTGGTGGCGGGAAGAAACACTCTTTGTTTGCGAGAGACTTTTGTGCTTGTGTTTCTTTTAAATGCTGTTTTGTTTAAACACCAACTGTTTGAAACATTCAACCTGGTTTGTTGAATGTTTGTTATCTGGGGTCACTGCGTAATATGTGAATGATGCAGTTTCCCCTCAAGTGAGCTCGGTTGGCAGTTGGCCAACTGTTTTTGCCCATTTACTTCGATTTGAAAGTGGGGATGAGCTGTAATAACATGGATGCCTTCGAGTCACATTTGGCTTTTTCGAGACGTGCAGTGTGGGGGTCGATTTTCAATCCAATTTACGTTGTGCGCCCTCCAATTTCAATTCCTGGCAGCAGCTTACCCTTGGTCCCCAGACCGTGTGGGGTCATCGCAGTGGCCTCTCCTGAGCATGAGGCGGAAGAGGACAACTCTGACAAACATGAGGTTCTGAGAGTTTTCAGGGCCAAAAGGACTGTGACAGGACGATCTTGGGAGGCCTTGTTGAATTCACAGAGAGTTGCTGCAATTCGGAAGTGGGCTGGAATCATTATGATGTATTTGAACTCATTTGAGATTGGCAGACAATGGGACCGCTTGTCACCTATGAGGCAGACATTGGGCGATGGTTTGAGGCACATTTTTGCGGGGAAGGCGACTGGCACTTTACATGCACGTGCCAGCCCAATTCTGCGATATGTCATGTGGTGTGACAAGAAGGGATTTCTGCTTTCCCATTGGCTGAGGCTACGATTTATCAATTCATGTGTGAACATGCTGACACTGCTGCTCCAACATTTTCGCGGTCTTTCTTGGTAGCAATTAGATTTTCCTTTCATGTCCTTGGGGTCACAGGTGGAGACTTGGTACTTGCAAGTAAAAGGATTGAAGGGTGCGCGTGAGGCGTATCTGAAGAAAAGGCGTACCCTGCAGAAAGATCCTCTCAGTGTTGCCATGGTTGAGCACTTGGAGAAAGTCGTCATGGCAGACAGGTATCCAGATCGAGACAGGGTGGCTGCAGGATACTTTTTGCTGTGCGTATTTTTCAGGGCCCGTTTTTCAGATATGATGAACTTGCAGGATCTCATTTTGGATGAATTGATCGTTGACGGCACTGCCCAGGGTTACATTGAAGGGAAGGTTGGTCGAACAAAATCAGCCTACACCACTGAAATGAAAACGAGGTACCTTCCTATGGTTGCACCGCGTTATGGTGTTACTGGGCTTGACTGGTTCAGTGCATGGCAAGAAGCTTGTATCAGATGTGGCAAACCCAAGGGTGAGTCAATGCCTATGCTCCCATACCCTTCTAAGAGTGGTTGGACGAGGACGCCATTGGGTGCTGGAGAAGGTGCTGATTGGTTGCGACAGTTATTGCAGGTTTCTGGCATTCCAAGTGGATCCATGGGGAACATTGGAACTCATTCCCTCAAGGCCACGACACTCAGTTGGATGGCTAAGTTTGGGGCGCCCATCAGTATCAGGCAGCACTTGGGTTACCACATGCCGAGTGCAGACAAGATGGCACTTCTGTATTCTCGTGATGCATCAGCTGGACCCATCCGTAAGTTGGAAGAATGCCTTGCTGAGATCAGGGCAAAGTCTTTTGTCCCAGATGCCACGCGTTCTGGTTATTTTCCAATGCAAGCACAACGACCTGATCCTGATGTTGAGCAGGACCTTTTTGGACGTGGTTCACATGAGCATGACAGGGCAACTGATTTCAGTGATTCAGATCCAGAGGATTCTAGGGATGATGAGCATGCCTTCGAAGAGCAGCGGTTGAATGAAGAGGCCATGGACCACGTCGTAGGCCCTTGGGATGAGCATGCAACATTGGAATCCTTGGGCCTTCATGAAGATGCCCCGCTTTTCAGGAATCGTTTTACCAGATACATTCATTTGCTTGCAGAGGAAGGGGGTAACAAGTTTCGATGTGGCAGAGAGGTGAATTGTAAATATGAGGAACTTGAACGAAGGCCCAAATTCATGTCGCCACAGTGCAGCCAATGTTTCAGAGATGTCGTCAGCTGAGGTTTGGGAAAATATGATTCAGTTGTAACCATGTATGCATTTCAAACTTTGTGGATCGTCTTGCTTTATTTAAATTTGTGGAATCGAAATTTGACTGCATGAGCAGACTTGGCATGTGCACATGATTTGAACCGAAGATGCCATTTGGGCATAGACCACTTGGGTCATTCAACATTTGGTTGGTGTGCGTGGTTCAAGCGGCGTAATTGACGCCATGTTGGGTATCCATTTGGGATCCCCTGCAAGTATGTGTGCAAGATACTTTACAGAACTTGAAACTGTATACATCCTTATGCCCCATGTTTGAACCCATACCCATAGTCCACTTATCCCAACACCAGGTTTGATTTCATACCCATAGTCCTCCCAGTGTTATAGTGGATGAAATAAGACTCATGAAACGTAAGCTTTCTTTTGTTGCCTGTGTTTCATTTAGCAATGTCACTCACCGACAGCGAGCCAAACTTCAGGGCCCGTGCGGCTGCGCTTGGGTTGACAGATGACGTCGTTGAAGCCTTGTGCACTAATGGTGTGAACACACTTGCAAAGTATGCCTTCAGTTCTGCATATGTCCCAGGAAATTCAGATGAGGCCCCATTTGTGACGGCCATGACAACCGCTTTAGGTGCAGATCCAACCCTTGGACAACTTGCTTCACTAAGGAGGCTTTTTCATGAGGCTTACAGCCTTACAGCAGCGGAGCTTAAGCACTCAGTTGAACGGGTCGAAGACATGCCAGTAAAGAAACTAGCCCAGCCTGAACGTGCAGACAGATTGAAACGTCAGCAGTCCAAACTTAAGGGTATCCGTATTGAAGGAAAACTTGAACCAAGCGACAGACTGGTAGACCTTGCAGTGTCCTTGTACGAGGAGAACAGACTGCAGCATGTTGAACTTAGCAGGTGCACTTCGAAAGAACAGGAGGTCTTGAACTCATCCCAGCGTGAAGACAAACATGTTGCAATTGATGCAAGTGGAGCTGTCCGCATTCGTGACAAGGAACACAAAATGGAAGCAGATTTATCATCAGATATGTTTGTCAGGTTGGCTTTGATGAGACGAGGCCTCGCCTTTGACCAGGCGAACTTGCTGGACTACCTGGAGCATGACAGGTGGGTGGAAAAGATTTTTGACTGTCGGGTTGCGAGTCAACCGGACGGATATGCCAAAATCAGCATGCAGCAGATTATCAATGCAGACCGAAAGCTGTTTGTCAAACTTGCAGAAGGGAGCAGATCTGGCGTCCAGACCACAGCCACAGGCCGACCACTGGATTCAATTTTTAGGACCACCATGGAGCACCCTGATGTTTTACACTTGTTGCAGCCGTTGCCAAATAGCATTAGCACGTCAGTCAAGAGGACTAGCGATGCCAGTCACGACAGGCCTGAGGCTAAGGTCCCTAGGCCCAAGAATAAGGGCAAAGGAAAATCAAAGGGTCAGGGCGGTGGATCACTTACCATCAAGATGCCGGCTGGACTTGAAGGCGGGGCACCTGGAAACCGCAACAACCAGCCCATATGTTTCGACCATAACCTTCCTCAATGGCTGCAAATTGCCCGTGACCAAAGGCCGCTGCCGGAAAGGTATGCACATTTGCTGCATGAAAAATTGCTTTCAGTCGAACCATACCTTCCAGACGTGCCCAAACAAACGCAGCAACTGACTCGGGGAGTGCAATGTTTCACCCAACAACACTTGCGCTGGTGACTCTATAATAGATGCAGCTGGTGCAGCAACAGTGGATGATCCTGGCTTACCCGCCATTGAAGGCGTTGAAGCGGGGACAACAAGACAGGGCGCTCCTTTGATCATGGAAATATGTGCAGGGACTGCCATGTTGAGTAAATGTTTCAAAGACTGTGGTTTTGAGCATTTGGCCATAGACCATAAATCCAACCGTTTTCACTCGTATGTCACTGTTTGCAATGTGGAGCTGTCGACAGAGCATGGATGGGCTTTCCTTTACCATATCATCGAGCATTACAATGTTGTTTTCATACATGCAGCACCGCCGTGCGGAACATGCAGCCGTGCCAGAGAAATCCCGCTTGGTCCTGGTGGGGGACCCAAGCAGTTGCGTAGTGAAGATTACCCATCGGGACTGCCACATTTGGAAGGCAGAGATCTTGAGCGAGTTCAACTGGCAAATTCATTATATAGTGGGCTGACAAAGTTTTTGACCAAATGCACCTTGCAGGACATTCCGTGGAGCGTTGAAAACCCAACTTAAGCTATTTGTGGCTTATTCCATGCTTTGCTAATTTGATTGCTGATACGCCCTGCAGGTTTTACAATTATGACACGTGCGCATGGGGGTCATCTCGGAAGTTGCAACGGTCCTTCCTTTCAACTTTGCCTGCAATGTGCGGCATCCAAGCCCGCTGCCCTGGTGACCACGAACATGCCCCGTTTGGGCGCACACGGCAGAGTGACGGAACCTTCAAATATGCTACTAGTGATGAAGCAGCATACACCAAACAGTTGTGTGTTCAGGTGGTTTCCATTGTGCAGAATGCTTTGCAACTTTTTCCACAGAAGTTTGAGGCCGACCCCAGCAATGTTGCAGTCAACCATAAAGGGATGATTGCCATGCAGAAACAACCGGCAGGACGACGAATGCCTCCCTTGATTTCGGAGTTTGAGCGATTTGAAACAATTATAGCTGCATCGATGCCCACAACCGATGCCAAAGGTTGCTTGACGGCCTGCCTCCAACATGTTCCTAGTGGCTCAAAGCTGCTCAGTTTTTCGAAAAAGGGGGATGGCGAGAGCAGCTTGGTTTTGAAGTTTGGTATTTACAGAACTCCCATGACGTGGATTGACAGGTCATTGACGTTGCACCACCCTTTTGACAATTTTCATGCCGTTCCTGATCAAATGCTTGATGTTTTATTTTTCATATTGACCACGTCTCCTGCAGATGTTTGCAATTTTAGGATTTCCAAAATGAAACTCTGGATGAGTTGGGCTGAAGAGCTTGAAGCACAAGAGAGAGAACACAAGCTGCGCCTTGACCCGGAAGTCAGGCAAATCCTTGCGCCCAAAAGGCTCCTCTTGCTCAGGAAGATAGCTTGCAGCTTGGATTGGCCTGATACCAATCTTTTTGACGAAATTGATGCAGGGTTCAAACTCACCGGAATCCAGAGCCCATCAAATGTCTTTGGACTTGAACCTAGACCACCGCAAGCCTCTGAAGGGGAGCTCTGGGCCAGTGCAAAATTCATTAGACCTGCGTTGATCGGCAAGGTCAAAAGTGCAGCTCTTGATACTGAGAGTCAACCATTGTGGGATGCTACAATGGAGGAAGCGAGCAACCATCACTGGATGACTGGCCCACATACAGTCGAACAAGTTCATGATATTTTCAATGGACAGCCATGGATACCTGTGAGACGCTTCTCAGTTCTTCAGTCCTCGGGTGATAGGATGAAACTCCGGCCCATTGACGATTTCGCAGAAAACCGCGTGAACACGGCCTATGGCTACTCAGATAAGCTGGATTTGCGTACCTTAGACCAGGTCGTGTGGATGACAGCTGCCATCACCCGTGCGTTAGCCTTGGGACATATTTCATTTCGAAGGAGTGATGGGACCCTGCTGGAGGGGAAGGTCCACTCCGCTTATTTGGAAGAGGGTGGTGGCCGACCTCTCCTTTCTGTTTTGGATTTGTCATCAGCATACAAACAATTTGCGATCAGCAAGGACTGCAGGCGGCTCTCTGTTATCGCCCTTAAGGATCCTTCAGACAGTTCATGCAAGTGTTTCATTGGCAATGTGCTGCCATTTGGGGCGACGGCCAGCGTGGTACACTTTAACCGCGTGTCCCGGCTGATCCATTCCATTGGGCTCCATGCTGGACTGCTTTGGGGAAATTATTTCGACGATTTTCCAATGGTAGCACCTTGCATTTTAAAACAGTCCTCAATGAACATGGCCAAGCTCCTACTTGATTTGCTCGGGTTCCAGTTTGCTGACCATAAACTGAAGCCCTTTGACGCAAAGGCCACGGTTCTTGGGGTTGAGATTGACACTAGCAAAGCTATGGATGGTTTTGTCCTGGTGAGGAATAAGCCCGGCAGGGTGACAGAGGTCACGGATACAGTCAATGGAATTCTGGCTCGTGGCACACTGACGTCAAAGGAAGCTAGCCGGATCCTGGGCCGTATACAATTTGCAGATGCTCAGATCATGGGTAGAGTCGGAAGGATCGCCATGCACGAGTTCAGGCTCGCCATTAAAAGCCACGAGAGCATCGCCCTGGATCGGTGTGCCATTGAATCACTGCATGTCCTAATGGACAGACTTTCTTCTGGAGAACCTCGAACGATCCCGTGCTGCGACCAGAGGCGACCCATATTGGTTTTTACTGACGGAGCCAGCGAGGTTTCTGGCCACACTATTGGTGGAGTTATGTCCAATGACAACAAGTTTGAATATTTTTCATGTGCGGTGCCGGAGCGCCTGGTTGAGGAATGGGGATCCATGTTTTCCCACTTTATAGGACTCGTGGAGCTTTATGCCATATTGGTGAGCCGGCTTCTCTGGAACGATCACCTTAGTGGGTCACGCACTATTTATTTTATTGATAACAACAGCTCGATGGATGCATGCATCAAGGGGACCTCCGGATCCAAACCTGTCCGAGAGCTGTTGTTGTGTTGGGAGAAAATGGAAGAGAAAGCCCGGTCTTGGACTTGGTTCACAAGGGTCCCGAGTCAGAGCAACCCGGCTGATGAGCCATCCAGAGCATGCCATGACCTGATGGTGAAGCTTGGGGCCGTGAGGCGTCAGGCAATTTGTCCTCTGACCGGAGTCCCTCTTGTAGACTTGTAAAAATAATAAATCTTTGGTGAAAAGAAAGTGGGGAATGACTGAGATGTGTGACAATGTTAAATTCTCTCTGTGTGCCCGTTTCCTTTGGGAACGATGTCTTGCTTTGGTATGTGAGTGAATGATGGAGCCAGTGGTGGACGTTTCATGTGGAAACGATGCGGCCCATACCAATGCAAATGAAACCATAGCTGCAGTGACATCGAGACTTGCCCACGTGAAAAAAGAACAGCATGCGTGACCGAGTGAAACTCCATTGTCCAAACGAAACAAACTGATTTCCAGCCGTTCTTTTTCCAGTGTGTGTTTCTGTGAATTTCAGTGATCTCATTCGCGGAACTTTGGCGTATTCGTGCGTACTCTTGTGGATATATATATATGTATATATTCGTACGTATGTATTTGTGGTTTTGGTTTGGTTGTATGTTTGTATGACTGGTACGCCTATGAGTATGGTGGGTCCCCCTCCTTGTTTGTTGAACCCCTGGGTTCTTTTGTTGGGGGGGCCCCCTTTGTTATATTTGGTTGAGCAAGAGTTTATAAGTTTCACTAGGCGCTAGCCTTGTTACCTTATCAACTCGCAGGTGTGGCGTGTGCCACCTCAACCAAAAAAAAAACAAACCTGAACCCCCCCCCCCAAAAAAAAAAGTAGGAGGGGTTGGTGGCGAGAAGAAACACTCTGTGTTTGCGAGAGACTTTTGTGCTTGTGTTTCTTTTAACTGCTGTTTTGTTTAAACACCAACTGTTTGAAACATTCAACCTGGTTTGTGGAATGTTTGTTATCTGGGGTCACTGCGTAATATGTGAATGATGCAGTTTCCCCTCAAGTGAGCTCGTTGGCAGTTGGCCAACTGTTTTTGTTCCCCCCCTTGCTTTGCACTCCCTCCCTGTCTCTCTTTGTTTCTTGTCCATGTGGGACATGTTTTCTTCTCGCCCATACCTTGTTCTTTCTACACAGTTGCATAGCAACGTTGCTGACACTTGGTCAGCGCATCTGTCGATGGACAGCATGTTTATAAATACCATATATACATATCTGGTATGTTACTGTAATGTTGACAGTTGGTCAACATTTGTTTTTCTCTCGTCATGTTTGACGAGGCGTCCACATGGGACATTGACATTTGGTCACTTCGAGCACTTGGCTCCAGCATTTTCATTTTCCCGAACTGTCCATACCAATTTTGCTATGTATTTCTCCAATGAGCTTTTCAGCCAAATCGTGGAACTGACCTTGCTGTATATGACTTTTCTCCACGACAATGAAAACCGATTAGACCTTGACAAATTCAGCCAGGTTGAATCACTTCAGGAGATCTTCTACACCATTTTATGCCAATGCGGAGATGCAATCTTCCTGCAATCCGCCAAGATGTACTGGAAGGCCACTACTTCAGCCCTTGCCATGCTTGAGGGCCAACACTGCCCCACTATCGATACACCAACTCAGATCGACCGAAATGGACCCTTGCGATGTTTGGCCACACTTTCAGCTCCGCAGTTCACCCATTTGGCACAACACGTTGACGATGCCAAACAAGGATTGCACGAGTTTTCTGCCTTCTTGCAAGCCTATGGGCATCCGCAATCCTTCCATGATCATGCGCAAGACTGTTTACTGATTCTGGACGATCTGAGTCATGTTTTGGGCCTTCCCAGAACACCCCGTGATGCCAACCATCCTGGTTTTGCACGAGAACTCCCGTAGCACACTTGCCCGGGGGGAATGACTGAGATGTGTGACAATGTTAAATTCTCTGTGTGCCCGTTTCCTTTGGGAACGATGTCTTGCTTTGGTATGTGAGTGAATGATGGAGCCAGTGGTGGACGTTTCATGTGGAAACGATGCGGCCCATACCAATGCAAATGAAACCATAGCTGCAGTGACATCGAGACTTGCCCACGTGAAAAAAGAACAGCATGCGTGACCGAGTGAAACTCCATTGTCCAAACGAAACAAACTGATTTCCAGCCGTTCTTTTTCCAGTGTGTGTTTCTGTGAATTTCAGTGATCTCATTCGCGGAACTTTGGCGTATTCGTGCGTACTCTTGTGGATATATATATATGTATATATTCGTACGTATGTATTTGTGGTTTTGGTTTGGTTGTATGTTTGTATGACTGGTACGCCTATGAGTATGGTGGGTCCCCCTCCTTGTTTGTTGAACCCCTGGGTTCTTTTGTTGGGGGGGCCCCCTTTGTTATATTTGGTTGAGCAAGAGTTTATAAAAAATGTTGCTGCAAAAGCCTTGGCGGACCAAATCAGCGACCTAGCTCCACGCACACGAAGTGCCTTTGGACGGCTACTAGGTCGCATCGAGGAAGGTAAAGGCGAGGCATATGCAACAAAAATTGATGTTCGATGCAGTGATCGCAATAAGGTTATTGCTGAGAAACGCATATTGATTGCGACTGGAGGCTCGGCTACGGCGGAAATGGCCATGAAATACTCGTCCTTTAGTCTCTGGCTCTCTAAAGTCTGGCTTGCGTTTATGGATGAAAGTCAACAGTACGGCAACTACCATGAAATTGCCGCTCTTGCTGCAATCCAGCAACCAGCACTATTAGTATTTGTCGGTGACCATAGGCAAACGCCTGGAGGTCTATCCAAGGGAAGGGCGGCAGCAACGAACAGACAAAAGCTTCTTCACCGTCCCCTGGGGCTACGAGCTTTGAATCGCCCTGGCGATTATCTGCCTCCTGCCCGGCTCACCAAGTTAATTGCACTCCTGTGGCCGGATGCAAGCCAGGACAATGATTCTGAAGTGGCGCGGCTACTCAACCTCGGCCAAGCACCGCATACAGGGACTTGGGTAACGGCGACAACTGCCCAACATTTACCAATCTCCTTGGCGCGCCTTTTCAGTGAGGAAACGCTTAGCCACCTGAATGTTCAGAGTTGCTTGATTTCTGCAATACTGGCTGTCTTGCTTATTGCAACTGCGCCAGAAGAATTCGGCATCCCTGAGTGTACAACCACGATTGAAGCAGCCGGCCTGGATGGTCCGCATCGATGGGGCATCATACTGCCCAACAGCTCCAGAGTGTCCCTATTGACGTATAAAGCCATTGTTGCGGTCCGGTACCCGGAATTGGTGCTCCATGATCAGGATCCCATACAAATCGGCCATTTTGTCCCCCATGATTACACGGTTGGGCAGGGAGGATTCCGTACGGTGTTATGGGAAGTACCTAAATACTCCAGAGACCTCCTGGCTGCTATTGAGGATATTGTGGTCTTTCTCAACTACCTTCAACAGTGTTATAGAGACCTCAATCAAGGTGCGACGGCGCAGCTCCTCGTCATGTGTAATCGCACGGCAGTGCACACACAACTGCTGCAGCATGGCTTCCAGGCTGCTTGGTTTGGAGGTCTGCGGATTGCCACCACCTCGTCAGCAGCAGGAGCCACGGCACGAATAGCAGTAGTAGTCCAGACAGGATGTGGTTTCCTCAGTGGGGGACGGCGAGGTGCAACGGCAGAAGACAAAGAGGATTGCTTTGGACGAGCCACTGTCGCGCTCACTCGAGCCATCCAGCATACGTACATTGTCTCCCCCATTGATATGGCTGGGCTGATTGGGATGGCGCAGACACTTGCAGTGTACCATTACGGGTATTATACCCTTAAAGATCGCACTGTCCAGTTCCACGAGCCCAAGCACGTGCCATCCGATGCAGAGGCGGTCCTTGAGTGGGGCCTAGATACACCGTTTAGCTCCCAAGACAAACCGCCTCTTGCCATTGCTATGGTAGTGACCGTGAATGGCGCACGATCCCTGAAAAGGTTTCGATTGGTCATTGCACAGAAATCAAAGCTGCGGCTCACACAGGAAGTCACTGCAGCGCTAGCCTCCCACAGTCGTGACCACCGCCTCACGGCAAGCAGCTTCTTTCCGTGCCCCATAGATAGGGAATACCTTTACGGCTATGCCGGCGATGGATATCGTTCTCCGCTTTGGTTATGTGCTTCCTACAATGGCTGCCCCGTTCTGGTGCACAGGCTTAGAGGAAGCAAGATGTATTTTCATCAAGCCACCAAAGATCGGCGAATTTTGCTCATCCCAGGTATTCACTATTTTGACGCACACCGCCTGCAACCACTACTGTTACAAGCTCCTGCACTACAAGTACACATGAGAGAGAGCTCTCTGGTAGGTCCGGAAGGGGCTGGCGAGCAGGTGGACGATCCCTCGTCGGACGAAGAACAAGCCACCACTGCAAGTGAAACTGAGGCTGAAAGTGAAGATGATGACGAGACTACACCCCCAGAGGAGCCATGGTGCCCGCCAATCCCACCGGCCATGGACGATCCTACGGAACAAGAAATCAAAGGTGCTGCGGATAAGTTGGCCACTATGATCAGCAGTTCACAGCCTAGCGCCAGTGTTTTCTATCATCCTGACAACCTTGGAGCCCTTCCACATCTATGGCTGCAAGCTAAGCTTACCATCTCCCTGACCTCAGTGCAGGAAAAGTTTGCCCGCCTTTTCATGACGATTGCGTCAGAACTGTGGCTGCGGGGCGTGATTGAGAAGGTTGAGGAGGTCTTTGCACATGCTGCCCGGAGTTTTACCCTCCGGTTGGCCGAAACGCTCTCGAAGTACATCTGCTCTCTCACTCGAAGAGCGGAGTCCCTGGCCACCCCAGAGACGGAGTGCCTGCTATATGCTACTTTCTGGTTCCGTCCAATCCTTTCTGAGCTTATTGTGGCAGCCAGAGAGAGTGCAGAGGTAAATCGGAAACGTGCTCCCAGTGGCCCTGTCAAAGTTGTCGTCACGAACCAGCCCCACTCGCGGCGTCACACTGGTGTCGACTTGGTTAGTGGTACTACGGCCTTATTGGCGTGGTTTCCGGCGAGCTGGGCCAGCAAGATCGCGCCATGTTTTCTCGAAGAAGCTGGCGGTAACACTCAAGCCCCACAGGAGGTTTCCTTTTCCTGTCCCCATCGAGTATTTGAGGGATTGCAGAGAGATGTGGCTGATCAAGTCTTGCAGGCGGT